CTCTCTCTCCCCCTCTCGATTCTGCATTCGTGTGCCCATTGCCGTCGAATCTCTGTCTGGTCTGGCAGAGCGGAGGTTTCGTCGTCATGACAACGAACCCAGGAAACCCAGCCACTCTCTCACACCCTTCCTCCTATCTTCCCTCTCCCTCCCTCTTTCCACCTCCCCGCGATTACACCGATTCCCTCCTCTAACCCCCGTGTATCACCACCACAATCAGCGGCCGTCCTCCTATGTATCCACGCGCCTGTGTATCTGTATGTTTTTGCGTGTCTATCCCTTACGTATTGTACGCACGCCTACCACTTTGCCACCCGAATGCAAGAACGACGTCGGTGTTGCGAGCGCTGTGCGCGCGCGCTCAACTCTGCAGACTGCCGCCCGGTTCATCCACCTCCTCCACATCCTGCTCCCAGGCTGCTGCACCCCCGCCCAACCGAGTCTGGCGGAGGGTGGCCGGTGCACGCAACCCTGCGCCACGCCGGGTCGAATGTGCGTGCTCGAGGAACGAGACCTACGGTGTCTACCCGCTCCTCGCCCCGATGGAAATATCGAGCGGATCGCGCCCCGGCTGATCGGGGTGGAAAGGAAAAAGGAAAGGAAAGAGAGAAAGAGGGAGGGGAAAAAGGAAGAAGAACACGCTTCGAACGCTTCGAGGATCGAACCGCGATCGAAGTTCGTGGGTGATGAGGTCGAGAATGAGGATGCTGTTACGCGAAGGTCGTGGATCGTGGCCGGTTGTTGACACTTTGTCAGGCTTCTTTCTTTCTTTTTTCAATGCTAGCATCGTCTCGTTGTTCGGGGATGACGATGCTCGAGATAATTAAGGTATCGGTTAAGGATCGATTTTTGAGAGGCTTCTTCCTTTTCCTATTGTTTCGAAGATTTTTTAACAATTTCGTTACGCGAGAAGATATTTCTCTTGATTAATAATGGCATAGATATGTTCGTTTTCCTCTTTTCACAAATTTTACATAAATATCAATAATTATTCGCAAATCGAATGGAGCAACAATCCTCGTTAATCGATCCAACAATTTTCCAACTCCTTTCTCTCGAAATCATCTCGAATCGATTACACCGGTAATAATACACCTTACACCGGTAATCCTCCCCGCTCGCAATTAAACTACAGCGCTCGCAAAGGATGGGGTGGATGGATGCAAATCACGTCTCCGTGAATTATATAATTTTCTGATCATCCAGCCCGGCCGGTTTCCCTGATCAGGCTCCGCGAGATTCAACAAGGAGGGGAGGGTCCCTTAACAGAATCTACCCAACCTCCATCCATCCTCCACTCCT